TCCAAGGACGTTTATTTATTTATTATATATTTATCTATTTATTATTTTATATATTTATTTATACATTATGTGAAATATTTAGCTATATATTATATGACATATTTATTTATATATTATATGATATATTTATTTATGTATTATATTATCATATCATTGACTACCTTTACAGAGCGCCACTCTGCAGATGAGATAGTCATCTCAGTTCAACTGGCTGCTCGAGCCTACGAGAGGAAAAAGTTAAAGGGTGTAGGGGAAGGTGGAGTAAGACAGCCCGGTAGGAAAAACGTCTCCTCCCCACTAGCGGTCAATCTGTGCACTGGAACATGTTTTCAGAGCTATTGTGTTGTAGCAGAAGCCGAATTTGTTATTGAATCGCAAATTTGAGTCCGTGGTATCACACTGTAACGGTCGGTAGACCAATTTTGAATTTTGACTGTTTTTTTAACTTAAAACACATCAGCAAACATCTTGATAATGGAATAATAAACATCAATATGCAAAGTTTACTATTCTTTACTAAAACATCAATCGTTTTCCTTGTTTTTACCCCCGTAACTGAACGCTTTAGAAAACACTGTGCTTAATTTTGGGCGTACATGAGCAAACGCCCTGTGCAAAAATCGGGTAAGATGCCACCGGGGCGTCCCACCCAACAGGAGAATATTGCTCTACCAATCAATACGCCTCTCCGTTCTCTCTATGTGTGCATCGAATTTCATTACCGTGGCAGTTTCTCCCACTTCAGGGCCACGAAGGCAATTGTTGAACATTCCGGGAGATGGATAACTATAGTTTGACCTCGTTAGTTATCTTTTGGGGAGGAGGATGCGATTGCCCTCTCTTTGGTTGCACTATTTACGTCTAGCTTCCACGAGTTTTATCGGCGTGCGCTACGATGGGGCAAACGAGACGTCGAACAACTGACAGAGTTTTCTGCAGTCAAAAAAGGTCTTCAGCTAGCACTCGAGGCCCTGCTCCACGAAACCTTTCTTCACCAGGCCTTAATGACAAACAAGATCACAAGAAAAACACAGCGAAGCGATCAAAATAGCATCGCCTCGGTTCCAGAAAGCCTGGAACGGTCCACAAACATTCCAAGACTACTTAAAGATCCCCTTGCCAGCAAGATCAGCTGATGGAGGAGCTTCTCTTCGGCCTGACAACGCTCGACGTGCGTCGTCCGGTACTTGCGTTCGCTGAAAGAACTTGGCCTAGAGACACGGTTTTCCAAGAGAACCAAAGACTGGCTCCATGGATTCCTGCTTCGTCATCCCATCCATGCGTAAGGAGTCCAGAGGCTAGGAGTGTTGTCCGTGCTGTGGGTTTCAACCGACCTAAGGTGATGCCGTTTTTTCACAGCGCACGAAGCGTTGCTGGGCGGAAACCAGCGTGGGGCCTCTGCAAATATGGAGCGTGGACGAGACGGGCGCAACACTAGTTCAAACCTTTGCCAAATAATCGCCTCAAAAAGCATTAAGAGGCTGGGAAGAATGACCAGCGCAGAACGCGTAGAGATCGTAACCGCACTGCGTGTCGTCAACGCTGGTGGACAGTGCTTCCCGCTGGTGCTCATTTTCGGAAGAAAGAAAATGGTCGCGAGCCTAATGAACGGTGCTCCGTCTGATTTCATTGGAACATGCACCAAGTCCAGATAAAGGGATTGAGATGTCTGCCAGCCTCTAGAAGTGTTCCTCTTCCAACATTTTCTGGCCGTGGTAAGGCCCTTCTCCCACAGGATAAGCGTCTGGAGACGTTGGATGGTCACCACAGTCATAAGTCCATTGAAGTCATCGACATGAGTCGAGTGCACGGTGATACAACAATCACACACAACTGCCACACTGCACTCACCAGATGCGCCACACTGCACCCACCAGATGCACCACATTGCACTTACCAGATGCACCACACCTGCACTCACTAGATGAGCCACGCTGCACTCACCAGATGCGCCGCAATGCACTCACCAGATGCGCCACACTGCGCTCACCAGATACGCCGCACTGCACTCACCAGATGCACCACACTGCACGCACAAGATGTGTCGCACTGCACTCACCAGATGCACCACACTGCACTTACCACATGCGTTACACTGCACTTACCAGACGCGGCCACTTGATGTGGGGTATTAAACCACTCAAAAGTGCGTAAGACAACTCCATGGGCAGCTGGAAGCGCGTTCATTCCGGGCAGACGCGTGAGCGAGCATAAGGTGACCCAGATCTTTCGGACTGTCTACGTTAAAGTGGCCACCATGGAGAAGGTGATCAACGACTTTAAAGCATCAGGAACTTGACTTTGTAGCATGCTGTTCACCGATGAGAATTTCGCAGCTTCTCAATGAAGGAAGAAGACAACCCTGAAGAAGCCGACGGCCGCGGCGACGGCACTGCCTGGAGACATCGTGGGTATGAATATGGAGAGATCAGCAAACTACCCTCCCCAGAAAGGCTGAAAAAAATGCATCCAGCTGATGTCTTGGACTCGCTCTGCACACCTCCCGGGACAAGAAAGGGAAGAGCTCTCGCCTGGCGGACAGGCAGCAGTGATAATGTCCATTCCTGCAAAACAGCTGTTGAAAGAAAGGCAGAATAGAGCGTACTCAAAAACAAAAACACGATTCAAGGCGGTGCGAAGGATGATAACAGCAGACAAGACAGGGAATAAACGACAAACAGCCATAACGTCCGCGAGGCCTGAGAAGACCATTTGCATTCTCCGCAGCATGCGCGTCGAAAGGTCCCGCGAGGAATGGACCCAGTACCCGACATGCCATGGCTGGGCACGCGTCTGCCGCACCGACGCTGATGCCGGTGGCGAAGGAAGCTGCACAAAAATTCGAAGTTCTTGGTTTACAGACTGCAAAGTCCTTTTAACAAAGAAGTCGTATCTCGAGCCCATCACTCCGATCGCCGTCAAGCATTTGATGCGGCATGCCTGATACCCCCTTGCTTGCAGTTGAGAATATGCAGGCCCTAGGTCATGTCAGGAATAAGATTACCATCACATTGGGTATTATATAAGAAAAAAAACATCATATTATGATGATGATGCTCATACTTTGACTTGCATTTACACTTTTATTTCAGGCATGATATTGACTACATAATGCCGCATCGCGATGGAAAATATGTGCCATGGCTGAGGAATTATCACCGTTTTACTTATCGCATTTCCGACATTGTTATCGACTGACGTCAACACAAAACGGCCTAGTGCAAACGCAAAGTTCTGAAACCTCTAGAAACCTCCCATGCGCAAGTAGGAAAAGTACGCCTTGGAACGGTTGTGCTACCAACGTACTTCGGTGGGGGCTGGTCAGGGACAGTTGATTTGCTGTGAATGCTTGGGGGGAGGGTAACTGACCGCCCGGCGACCTTACCTCTAGAAACACAAAAATTGCCAGGGTAGGTAAGGGTTTTTGAGAAGTTGCTGGCCATGATCTCTATGTCATGACCTTTAGGTTAAAAAAGGCAAAACACGATTAAACTCTACATCGTTGTTGAAAGTGCCTTCAGACCTCTTCACCAAACAGCTTAACCCTGGAGCATATTTTACGCAAAAATTTCGTGGTGTTCATGCAATGTCGGTGACCTTATTTAGCCTCGACAAGGTATAAAATGTCAAATATATTCCGGACTATTCTGTTGTTTAAATTTATAATCATCAGTATTTACTTCTCCAGGCAGCATGCTCCTCAAAAAAGGTAGCTCGACGTCACTTCGACTCTTCTGACTCTCATCAAGTCAAAACAAGAAATATTTTGGGGTCTTTGTGATCTTTAAAGCCGAAGTAAGCTCAACATATATTCAATAAAACACTTTTTCCAAGAATAAGGTAGGTTGGCTTTGACCATGACCTAACCTTCATGCCTGACCCATGGTTAATGGGATTCGCCTTAAGTTTAATTTTAATTGTTTAACCGTCACAGAAACCATTTCGAAATTGCATAAATTCGTCTAACACCGCGTTTTCACGTCATATTTAACCATTTCCTTGGAACTGTATTCGCTGAGTGATATGGCCTGGCTGAACCGCTACAGGTCAGCGAACTTGCAAGGTACGTCTATGTTCATACAAAAAAATTGGCTATTTGGCTAACTACAGCTGTGCTGCTTTTGGCAAGGCTACGACGCGCCGTTCAAAATAATGCTGGGAAAACCTGAGCGGCGTCAAATTACCCCATGCAGCGAGAGGTAAGGCTCAGGTTGCATGCCCTTTAGAGATCACATCTGGCCACGAGATTCATGGCTTGAAGAACATGCTCCAAGTATCTCCAGCCTGCACAGTTTCATGCCCTCAACTAAGTGGTTGGATTCTGGAAAGCTTGCAGCTTCAGACCATCCAAGCTGCTGCGTACAGCCATAAGTGTCATTGCAACGCTTGAGAGAGGCCTTTAAAAAGTGTTGTAAAGCTCTTTCTATGGCGAATCTTTCCGGGAAGAGGCAATATCCCCGGCTGAACGTAGCGCAAGCTCATTTAATTAGGGCGGCTGTCGTTAACTGGAAAGGCTGCGATCAGGTTCAAGTGCTGTCGTGTTATGAGCTATGTCGGCCTGGGCGCGCATACATTACTGACTTGCAACTGCTGTGCTGCCGGCACCGGTGCGGCGGGCAGCCCTTAATGCTCGCCGCCGCCGGTGCAACGGAGGGCTGTCGCGTCCAATTTCCTCCCGCCTGTCCTCCACTAGGATACCGTGCTTCCGTGTTCTGGCGCGTCTCGCCCCAGGCCGGCGCAATGAAGGGCTTGAGTCTGTGTGAACTCCGTCAGCGTCCCAGCGGACCAATGTGCCAAGAGCTCACGCAAACACCAGACCACCATTTGCCCCGCCGCCCGCCGTTACGGCGGCGAACCGGCCGCCGCCGTCCCGTCGGAGGCAGCGGCCGGCTCCGTCGGTGCCGTCGCGTCGGAGGCGGCTGCCGGTCGACGCGCGCGCCCCAAGGCCGGGCGCACGTGTCTCCGCCGACACTAGTGAGGATTCAGGCGGCGCCGAAGCCGAATGCTAACAGGATCGCCTCGCGCGGCTATAACATGAGCGCGCTAGCGACCGGCGCCGCCAAAGCCAGTCTTCCGCTGCGTCCGCCTGACACGGACGTCATGGTGGCCTCTTTCAAAGTGTTCAAGAAGTCCTCGCCCAACGGCAAGTTGACCATCTACCTGGGGAAGCGCGACTTCGTCGACCACATCTCGACGGTCGACCCCCGTCGGTGAGTCGTGCGCTGGGGGCGGCTCGTGCCGAGCAGTCAGGCCCGCTGCCGAGTGCGGTGTCTTGACACCAGCCGTTTTACAAAGACTCGGCACATGGAAAATACGCCGAAAAATGCTTTGGTTTTGAGGGGGCACTTCTGGGGTGTCTGTCGTGTTGTTTCTAGCGCAAACGGCTTAATCGAGTTAGAAAGAATTAGGTAGTCACTGGCTAAAACAATGCCTGATTGTCCCGCATGTAGCAATCAACGTCTCTTTTTTGGGGAACGTCCTCTTCAATTACCAGGGACAAGCCAAGGAAAGCGTACGGGTTCATCCCTTTCCCACCCCTCTAGCCACGAGGTTCACAGAAGATACTGGGCGATTTCGCAGAAATTTAGTCAAGATTCACTGACGTCTGGAGGCAGTTTTACGTGCGGATCGCTTTGAGGACAATTCTTGTTACGTGCTTGAAACTTGCGTGCGTTTACATGTGCATGCAATATTTAAACAAACAAAGCAACTAGCTATTTTGGCCGAAGGCATTAACCATCGTAGACACACTACAGATCTATGTTCAGATTGACTACAAAAGCTCTCACTTAATGCAGGCTTTACTTTTCCGTGCTTGCAGTCGAGGTCATCAATAGGTTATTATAAAGACAATGTTCCGATTACATGTCAGCTGCGTGGAGATTCTATGAGCCTCATTTATTCATTTTCCTGCGTAATGTGACGACGGAACTTATTTACGCAGGTCAGCATGGCTATGAGCTGTTTTCCCGCACGTCGTCCGTGCAGTTGAAACTTTCCGAAAGGAAGTGAAATGGCATACTTTTTTCAGAAGCAATGGTCTGTCTTATCTAACCTGCAAGCTATCGAGCTTGTTTTTGTCTTGTTTCAAGACGTTGTTTTTATTCATGTATCCGTGCGATACACGACATAGCTTACCTTCATTACACGCCAAATTTTACTGTCGTCTAACAGCCAAGGTTATGAAATATTCTTTTGAGATGTCGGCATGAGTGCGTATTCATAAACACATTTCAGATGTCTTTTTACATATTCCGGCGATGACGTGTTTCGGAGCTCCTAATAGCTTAAGCGACATCAGCTTCGGTGGTTTTGCTACCCTGGACAGCTTTGCATTCGCTATCAATAGCTGAAAAGCTGCTCGCGTGGTACGTTAGGAAAATGGCGAGGTAAGAACAATGCCGCGGGGCACCGTTTCGCATCCGGCAAGTTCTGGGTAAACTGGTTTTGCCAGACGAGGCTACGTCAGACGGCCGCAGGCAACAAAGGCCGTGCGCTACTTACGACGCTTTCGTCGGACAGACCACTGTACACACACCACGCTAGGCAACAAAGACCGTGCGTTACTTACGCCACTTTCGTCGGACAGACCACTGTACACACACCACGCTTACGCTTCTGTCAGCTGTGTGGAGCCCAGTCAGTCGCTGGGAGGCGGGAGGCGTACGCCGAAGCCTTGAGCCCGCCTCCTCCACCGTTCCCTTTCAGCCGACCTCACTGCATCACCTAGCACTTGCGAGTTCATGCCCGGCGGTCAAGGTCAAGTGATGCGACACAGGGACACGTGATGAGCATTGATTGGTCATCCAGCAAGGCTCAATGGATCCAAGTGAATGGATCAATGTCATGTAATAGGACACCACTCACCGAGTTTATAGACTTTCAATGCAGAGGGTCCTCGCTCGGGATGAAAAAGCCCGGTGCGAGGAATAGTTGGCACTGAATTCGGTTGTGGAAGCCGCATCAACAGAACGTGTGGAGAGTCGTGTTGAAAATGTGTCGACATGCGCAAGACCTAGTGGATGAAGCACGATCGCGGAGCGTCACCAGACTAGTCACAGGCCCTAGGATACATCGCACTAGTCTATACTCTTTTTAACAGGAATCACAAAAACAACGTTGTACTTCCTTTGTTTCCTCCAAACTTTTCTATAAATTATGTTTGGCACCGAACACAATGGCATAATCAAAAATGGTTGCGATCAACACATACTAAAATCCAGTGTGCTTGGTGGTATCACTACATTCTCTGCTTGTGGTCTTTGTGTGCTATTTGTGACTTAATGAGGTCCTTCGCCATCTTGTAAAACAGGTCAGGAAGATAGTGCTAAGCATTCTTGCACACTATGACCATGATGTAGCATATTTCGCTTCATGAACATGTTACAATTGTACGAGTCGGACGGCTATTTGCCTCGTACCATTAGCAAATACAAAACCTCCTTAAAGCTCGCGTCCCACAAAACTCATGCTCACTTAGTGCGTAACAAGATATCGAAAATGGGTGTCAAGTGCAATGTATGCGCGTGTGTGTAGAAGCACCATTAGCGATTCAGTTATCCGATGTGGCTTCTGTTGGCTAGCAGTTTCTATAAGACCCGCGTTTTAGGATACCTCTGCTAGCCGCGCTGTCCGGCCTGGTGTAAGAAAAGCAGGACCGTATGCATGGGGGGGGGGGGGGCACTGGGGGTACAAGCCCCTTGCCGTCAAATTGGTGCATTTATTAATATGTATATTAGCAAATATCAACAGTAAAAACCAATCAGACACGTAAAGATAAGTATCGAAAAAGCCAGCAATGCTATCGTTCGACAGGTTTTGGACGCCTCACCTCCGCCGCGCGCTAAAATGGGTTTTTGGTCGAATCTTGGTTGGTGCCCCTCCATCCCCCCCCCCACAGCGAAATCATGCAAACGTCCTTGAAAACCGTGTCTTTAGACCCGCACGGGCATTTTCATCCCCTCCCCACTCCCAGGCGCCCCCCTCCCTCACCTTCACCCTCGCCCCACTCCACCCGCACCCACACCCACACCCACGCCTCCACTCCCATCCCCACCCCACCTCACTCCCACCACCCCGCTGGTGAGATCAACCCGGCCGCTGATCCGACCGCGGACCCACCGCTGACCCGGCCACTGACCCATCTGGTTCTGACCTGTCCACTGATCCCGTTCACTGACGCGTCCGCTGACCTGGCCCACCGCCGGCCCACAGACGGCGTGCTGCTGATCGACCCCGGCTACCTGGACGGCAGGCAGGTATACGGCCAGGTCATCTGCTCATTCCGCTATGGTCGCGAGGAGGACGAAGTGATGGGCCTCAACTTCCAAAAGGACCTGTACCTGGCCTCTGAGCAGGTCTACCCCAGCGTCAACACGGACGTGGCCAACATGAGCAAGCTGCAGGTGAGCAAGCGAGACGACTGATGCTTTGTCACTTCGGACTCCAGGCGCTCCTGAGAGTCAAAGGAGTAAAAACACATGTGTTACCACATGGTGAGACACGTGCAGCCCGAGGTGAGGCATGGCAACGCGTTCTCACTACTCAGATCGCTTCCTCTTTCTTTTGTATGAAAGACGTTTGACGGGGCAACAAATCCCAATTCATCACCATGTTGGGAGCACTCAGCATTTGCGGATGCTGGCCAGGGTGATATGATGGGTATAAATAGCACGCAGACCTCCTCTTCCACTGCCTCCTGCATCACGTTTTGCCTCCCTTCACGCCTCCCCACGCTGTTTTTGCTGACGGACATCTGTAGCAGAGGGCCGAACTGGGGCGCCTACGGTTCTCAGCCCCTCCCGAAGGTCGCGCAGAGTCCTGTACACAGCACGTCAAGGTTCCCAGTAAGCCAGTAAGCCTTGGTAAACTCTGTGGTCGGCGGTTAAGGCAGAATAGCTGCGTTGACATAATTTTAGTCTCTCATTGAATTAACCGGACACAGTGTACAATCCTTCGTTGTGCGCAGAAAGCTGCATCATATTCTCTGGCTCATCTGACGTCTCATTGTTTTCACCACACCGATCCGCTTTTACGCTGCACCATTTCAAAACAAAGTGTTGACTGCAGCATTAACGCTGTGGGTGGCCGGTACTGTGACCGCGTCCCAGGACCGTGGCGCCTCACGCCAGCGCCACGTGCTCGACTGCTGAACGCCCCTCCGCCGGCAGGAGCGTCTGGTGAAGAAGCTCGGCCCGCACGCGGTGCCGTTCACCTTCAACATCCCGCAGAACGCACCCTCGTCGGTCACGCTGCAGCCTGGCGAGACGGACCAGGGCAACCCCTGCGGCGTCGAGTACTTCCTCAAGCTGTTCGTCGGCGAGTCAGAGCTGGACCGCTCGCACAAGAGGTGCGGGCAGAGCTGGGGGGAGCGGGGCAGAGCTGGGAGAGTGGGGCAGGGCTGGGGGAGTGGGGCAGAGCTGGGAGAGTGGGGCAGGGCTTGGGGGGTGGGCGAATCTAGGGGAGCGGGGCAGGGCTAGGGGACGGGCAGAACTGGGGGGAGCGAGGCAGAGCTGGGAAACGGGCAGATCTGGGGAGAGTGAGACAGGGCCGGGGAAGCGGAGCAGATCTGGGGAAGCGGGAGGCAGAGCTGGGGGAAGCGGAATGGCAGAGCTGGGGGGGGGGGGGCGGAGCAGAGTTCGGGGAGCGGGGAAGAGCTGGGGCAGCGGGGAACAGCGGGGCAGAGCTGGGGGGAGCGGTGCGTAGGTAGGAGAGCGGTGCAGGGCTGGGGAAGCGGGGCAGAGCTCGGGGAGCAGGACAGAGCGGGGCAGGCCGCGACCTCAGCGGCACATCCCGCTGGTGACTCACTCTGGTGACGCATTAAAGGAACATAAGATGATTGCCGAGTAGGTGGACAGATCGACACCAGGAAAGCAGAGTTCGCCAGCGGGCTGTGACGCCGAAAGGTGTCGATTGCTGATACTTCTAGAAATAAAGGATACATGAGATCGGGAACTAGATTGGAAAGAAAGCAGATGCCAAAAAGCGAGACCCGGCGGCCTTTGGCCGGTTCCTTTCCCTTTGATTGACTCGCTAGGCACTTGGAGAATGGTCCAGTGGAACGGCGTACAATGAATGAACAACGTAGCGTGTGTTTGATAAATGATGAAAAAGACAAATATGGCTGCTTCATTAGCCACTATACTTCACGTGGGTATGGTGGTATGCATGGTGGGTACATACCCCAAAGTGTAAAAACACAACCTCTCATATCAGCTGCGTATGTATGTGATACTAAGACTGGCAACAAAATATGACAGCAATGTTGTTTTTTAAGTGAATTTCGACGAGCGGCATTTACATGTACGCGACGCATAAGTCTGTAAATATAACCATTTGCTCGGAGTGCATATTTCCCAGGGAAAGCAAGCATTGGACAAGACGTCTTCACTTTTCACATTGAGCCAAAATGCGCACTTGGATTAAAAGCAAACCGAACTGATCATATCGTGTCCTTCGAAGATGGTTGTAGCGCACAGACGTAAACTCCCACATGCGCGCGCCCACAACACGTGCACTTAACTCGTCCGCCGGATCTCTGAGCAGAAATATCTCCATAGCATGATGCTACAGCGTTGAGCGCAACAACATACGTTGCGGACCATGGGTATCTGCTTCGATTATTACGGTCAGACGCTATAGATAGGATTCTGCCATAGCGGCATTCGGGGAATAAGTCGGAAATGCATTGCATAAACAGTCTATGTCAATCGTGACTATTGACCGTGTTCCACTGAAAGGCGGAAGTCGTGGTTTGCGAAGCAAATTAGCGTTGCTAGACTTTGCGGCTTCAGCAAGTATTCAAGCCTTGAAAGCTTCATCAAAGCGATGGTCCTATGGCCGCGAAGCTGCAGGAAGTACCGATACGTCAATGCATGGTGAACGTATGTTAGCTGGAGGCAGCGGGTAGTCACCGCGCAGGTCTTGTTTACAGGGCAACAGTGGCTCTCAACATCCGAAAGGTGCAGTATTCTCCATCGAAGGGAGGCAGACAGCCCTGCACCATCGTAAGGAAGGACTTCATGTTGAGTCCTGGGGAGCTGGAGCTGGAGGCGACGTTGGATAAGCAGGTCAGCGGAGGCGCTCGCTCGCACATCCTTCGGCATGTTCAGGCCTCGTCGTTCCCTGAAATGTTGCTTTATCAAAGCATTCCTCTCCTTTCTCCACGTCCAGGTATCTTTTTTCTGGTAATCACCGCCCATGAGCAGGTGACGAAGAGCGCTCAGCCCACCGTCCCAGCGAACAACAGCCCCTTGCTTCCACGCGAGAGAAAGGTCGTGCCTTGCCACACTAGGGAGTTGGAGCGAACCAGGCACGCGTAGGCAGCGCGTAGCTGAGACCGTTAAATGGGGCACGGAGCTTGTGGGCAAACAAGGGTAAATGTAGTCGCAGCTTCGTCCGTCGGGTACCGCGCTTCAACCGAATGCCAACCTGTCATCACTGACGTTGCGAAGTTGTGCATGCATTTGAAGCGCATGAGCATCTTCTGGTCATGTTAAACACAACCATCAGCTTCGTCCCCCCCCCCCCCTCCCACCGGATGCCCATCCATCCAACCACAGGTTTACTTATGAATTGACATCGGGCCAGCACCATGCCGCAAGTGAACTCGCGCAGTAATATCCAGACAGTCGTAGGATCTGCCACCCGTGGTACCGAAAACGATACCGGAATTAGTTTCTGAATGGTATGACTGGTTTTTGTGTGTGCCGCGCTACTTCAATGCGTGTTAATATGTGCGGAAGTGGCATGTGACCAAACATGTCCTGCGAGTTAACCCGCGCCCAGTCGGGGGGTTTGGGATAACCGCGCCCGGCCGGTGGAAAGTTGACTCCGCCCCCTCCCCCCCCCTGGGATCTCCAACTTCAAGACTTCGTATGAGAAAAAAAATACCGTTGTGAAGGTCTCGTCAAATCGTGAAGAATTTTCACCAAATTTTTTGTCTTAGGTCAAATGTGAGGCCATCAGAGGTCACGAAATGTAAAAAACCGTCTTTCCGACAGATGCAGTTACAACCAACGTTAACGCGTCAAGGTAAATATTAAGTGCACGGAAATAAACGTCAAGTCCGCGGGGAGCTCATTCCGACCATTTCTGTCCCACACATGGGTCAGGTCAGATCAAGCCACCATTCAAAATTGGTCTACTGGTAGCCTACAAGAACCAGATATTTCTTCACAATGTACTTTTGAATAGGTTTATTTTATTGGGTGCAGCTGTGAGACAAAAGTATTCCAGGCACAACAGCACCATTCTAGGGTGACCTAGAGGTCATTTTTGGTCAGCTTAGGTCAAATTTATAAGCCATTCGAATGAACAAAATTGAGTTCTAACTGGCTCTTTGTGAAAAATTCAATGTTTTTCTGTGGTTAGCAATGGTGTATCGTACATCTACAGGTACGTATTATCGCATACCTCTTGTCTACATTATGCATAGCCCCTTCGACTCTCGGCAATCCAGTTGAAACAAACTGAGAACAAACTGAGTATGATGATCTCATTATGCATTGTAATTATGTCACAATACGTTCTCAGCGGAGCATTCGAACTTTGCATCCAAAATTATCTACTATGACTTCCTATTTTGAAATCCGAGTGTGTTTGGTAGAAGGCACCCTTAGAGATAGATGATGACCTGGGTCCAGGTCACCTGCTTTGTGGTCGTATGATGGTTGCGCATGTGAGTTAGCACGCTTCTCATATGCAAACACCAAGACGACACAAAAACAAGTACAAATCGAAATTGAGTTACGAAAAATAGCAAACATAGACCTAACTTCAATTCACTGACCTCGTATTTTGCGAAAAAATTAAAGCATCAAACTGTAGGAACTATCATGCTCCATTACTATAACAAATTTGAACGATGGCAAATGATTCACAAAAAGTGATGTGTGTTCACAGCTTTGTAGATGTTGATCTCTTTAACATGGCCTAGGTCACTGATCTTGGTACATCAAAACCTCAGTCCGCACAAACGATGCTAAATCGATAAGTGAACAGCTACTTAAAATTCAGTGTGCCGCGAGCGTTCGTTTTCGACTTGTGTTCGAAAAACTGTAGGGGGAAAACCAGCTTCCCCGGCCGGGTGCTGGCTAATGACTTTTGACTCGGTCAACGAAAGTGGCTTCCGCTTAATATGTACGATGTTGAAGTCTATTTCTCTGATGGATTCGGCATTTTCAATTTTGTCGCGAATTTTTAGGTATGCTGCTTTAGCTGTACGGTCTTAAAACGGTCCTACGGGGGAGGGGGGGGGGGTAGAAGAGTTAGTGGCGCGTGCTTTCAACTATGACGTTGCTTTGAATCATAGTGTAACGCCCCAAGACGAAATGAACAGATGGCCCTGTAAATATATGCATATTCATCTTACACCACGTCATGTTACTCAGTGGCGTTATGAAATTCAGGGAATGGAATGGCAGATTCGTAATTTAGTAACACTTTTAACAAAAATGCTTACACACGATTGAATAGAAGCGTTTATTGATCAGTGTGGTGGTGTTCGTTGCAGAGGGCTTTTGTTTAAGAGTGCGCACATTTGGTTCAACACACGTCTGCTTATAACAGAAAATATCTGAGGCTTGACAAAATTTGTCACGAAGTTTTGGTATGGTGTGGTGAGAGAAAGCTAAGGATCTGCGAAAGGTTGGACTTGTTGAGCGTGTACAGCAGTCCGAGCTAGCTTGGTAGCAACTAACAACCTGCATATAACACCAGCGGCTGAGAAAACAGGTGGACATCGCACATCGCTCGGCGCCTTCTGTACTAAGACACTCCGAGCATTTACACTGCTGCTCCCGTCAACCCGGCCTTGGAGGGATTGTCCCCCGGGATTCCACGAATGCTTCCATTATGTCGTGCTGCTTATGCCTAATAACATCCTGCTCGCACTGAGGGGCACTTACTACGCCATACTGATCAGCGGCGCACTGTACAAAAGCCAATCTGCAGCGTCAGACAGAACAAGTGTGCCATTGGTCTCAATGGAAGTGCGATTGCTGTTCTGAGCATTAAACAAGGCTTAACTGATAACTAATTGTGTCCAGTGTTCGGTACATATATAATGGTCATTGAGCGATTCCAGCAAATATGATAAGAGCAAAGCATATTGATTGCAAATGTCATAAAGGTATATGTCTTTGCTTGGCGTCTGCCGATTACAGATGTCCAGGCAACCGTCCGTGACAACATCTGAGTCTCATATCCTGTGATCTAACTGAATATCTTATTACATTAACCGATGTTAATACATTAACAGCATATTACTGATGTTGAAAACCATTCATAATCCGGGTAGCGGATGACGTGGGCACCTGCATCTCAATTAGGGATAACGTGGTGTCGCCCATTCCGGAAAACAATGCATTTCCCGAAAAGCGAATTAGTGGTGCGCACACGACTACGATTCACATGGTTAATGACGTGTTTTAGGCTCATCGCTATTTGCGCTGACATCCGATCCTCGAAGCGCATCTCGAGCGCCACGCCACAAAAAAAAATATGATGACGTCCAGGAGCTTGCCCCCGCCGGCGTGCGGAGACCGCGCGTGACGGGCCCTCTCCTCCCCCCCCCCCCCCCCCCCCCCCTCCAGCCTGACACAGCGTCACCACACGGCTGTACCGCCATGGCTCACCTTCTAGGTGAATTACCAGATTTCGAGTCTCAGTCGAACTCGGCCTCAAGACACCGTGTAATTAAGAAGGCTGCTGCTCAGTTTTGGTCAGCATACAGCTGTCCAAGTCCCCGACGCGTCAGGCCCATTGCCAGATTGTTTTTCCCAGGAATCGAGATCAAACCGGATAGCGGTGTATGAGACGGCTGCTAAGAATCACGAAACATGTTCGGAGGTATTTTGCACGCTTTTTTGCGATAAATACATCCCGATACAGCAACCGCCCTGGCGAATGTACACCGGGAGGTCAAGGGCGAGCGATTAGTACCAATGGAAACCCCATTAAAACTCCCAGAACCATGGATATAGCCCATGCAGGTATGCTCGGTGTCGTCATTGCTCAGTGCTATCCACAGTTGGTAACGACGCCCGGACGAACTGCTAGAGTCAATATAGATGAGTCAACTGCTAGAGTCAATATAGACACACCGCCCCACCTCGAGCCGACCGCGACTCTCCTGGACCACGTAATTACCAACGTGCCGAAGCTGGAGGGCACCGTTCTGGTGCCGCCGGTGCCTATTGCGAACTACCTCACCACTATGTTTCGTGTCCCGTTCAGGCAGCAGAATTTGCGTCCTGTTTCTTTTCGTATTCGCCCTGGCGCAACATCTGCAGGCACGCACCCAGTCCGCATCTGCTGGAGGCACACTGGGACCCGTTGTACCGGGCCGTGGGTGTGGCGGGGAAGCTGGAGGAGTTCATGTGCGTCTGGTCAGGCGCCATTGATATGCACTGTCCTCTGAGGACAATGACACCCGCGTCCACGCTGCTCCTGGATTGAGGACTTCCGATCTGTTGTGTGTGATGCGGGAGCGCGACCACGCCTACCGGTCATGGCGCAGCTACGGTGCGGAGACCGACCGCACACCGCACAGAACCGCGCAGTACATCGGCGACTGCGAACGCTGGGTTAAAGGTTGCTGCGCTCAGGCCAAGCAGGACTTTCTATACGCCAGTATGTTTTCCGACAGGGCTGGTTTCTGGCGGGCAATCCGCAAGCTTGGACTCAGACCTGCCAGGGGCGGGGGAGGTGGCGCCAAGGAGGTAATGCCCGCTGACATGGCCGACGATTTTAACCATCACCTCGCCTCAGTTGGTCCAAAAATCGCGGCCGAGCTGAAAACGGACAGCCATGCGTCCCGCATCTCTCTCCACGACCACCATGCGTAATCACGGTCAGGCTAGTTTTACACCCTGTAAGCCTATCCAGCTTTCAAAGACTATGAGTGCATTGTCTTCATCTAGGGCTGTCGGAGTCGATGGCACGCCACTGATTGTGCTAAAAAAAAGCTGTTTCGCTGTCATAGGAACCCATTTGCTTCTTCTAGTCGATTTTTCCAGCGTGACCTGCGTTTTTCCCTGTGCGTGAAAGTTTTTTCAACTTTTTCCCTGTGTGAAGAAGTTTAATAGTCAACTTGATGTACGGCGACAGGTGGTGAGAGGTGGTTCACTTTCCCTTCCCTTATCCCACGGTGTCCCTGGGAGATTCTTGGTGGGCCCAATCCTTTTCAGCTTCTTCACAAATGACCTTCTATCCTACCTGCCTCACGAGTGTCTGGTTTCCTACGCCGACGATACCCGGGTCCTCGACACCGCTTACCCCGAGCACTCGCCCGCTCTGAAATCTCTTCAGGAGGAAACCATCCTTGCCCTCCAATCCTGCCTCACTGCCAATTCTCTGAAGATGAACCCTATCAAGATCACCCTTCTTTTAGTCGGCACGCCCCAGACCATCAGAAAATACCTCATCCTTCCATCTTGACATCTCCAACTTAATATCTACCCCCGTCGTCCGTGACGATGATCGGGGTGACCATCGATCGTATCCTTTCCTGGGAGAAGCACACATCCAGGTTACTGGAAAAGCGCAATCCCATCCTGTTTTGTTTGCACAAATTTCGTCATCGTCTCACTCCCAAGGTCTGCAAACTCATTATCCGGGCCCATTTTTCTCCTACATCCTGTACTGCCTCCCAGGCTGGGGCGGAGCCGCCGCCTGCTATCTCGGCCGGGCGCAAAAAACCGCAATTTACGCGGCCAGAACCGTCTCGGGGCGTGGGGCCCAGATCGTATTTCACCGGTCGTAACGTCGCCGCAATGGCGCGGAATCAGTGACCTTGTTACGCGCCGCGGCCATATTGGCGTCTTCAGGGCCCTAAATGACCCCCGTGCGCCGGACGCGGTCCGGTTGCTGTTCATTCCTCGGACCGCTGTGAGCGCACCAAGAGGTCGGCAGGTGCCGCAGCTTTGGAGCGGTCTCCTTTCCGGCTGTCCATGTCGCGTAGGGTGTTTTCACACCGTGCGGCCTCGTCCTGGAGCCACCTGCCATCGGCCATTGTGACCTCCCGCAGCCACGCTGCGCTCACATCTAACCTTCACCAATGTGAAAAGAGCGTTTTGTTCGACTCTATAGGCCTTTCCCAAACTCTTGACGTGTCATCAGATGCCAGCATCTTCGTTTTGATCGTGTATGTTGTAACCATTGACTGGAATCAAACATCAACCCATACATATGAAACGATTCGTAGTAAGCACATGGCATGACATCAACCGGAGAGTGCGCCGGATTTTCCCTGGCGCCCTGTCCAGCGCTCTTGATGCTGGGTTTACTGTGTCAATTGGGGTCTGGGTCCAAATTGGTGAGCATGACTCCCTCAAAGAGATGCGATATTCCAACCGCGTCTGTGCGGTGCTGCGTGCCATACGGGGTCAATTTGGATCATTACTTATGACAGAAAGCATGCCTGTGTTTGGATACGGGAGTAATCTTGAGAGCATATACTGTCGGCATTGTAGTATAGCATCTGTTCACAGGTTTCACTGTTCTTAAAGATTTTCTTATCTTTTCAAGGCGATTTTTTGCTGGTGCATCATTGTCTACATGGTTTACTTTTATCTTCGAAGCTCTGTATCGATATTTGAAAAATTTCAGATATTCCTGTCACGTTTTGGCCATGCGTCAAGGACTCAAAAGCTTATCCCAATGTTTTGGGATGGATCTCTGAGTTGATGCTCGCTTGCGCATTCCCAGAACATTGTGAAAATGACTTCAAGAGAATGCTGCATGCTTTCAGTAGGTCGCAATGCTTTGGGGGTCCATTTCGACTTCACCCAGCATTACCAAGACGCCACCTGGCATGGAACGTCCCTGCGAGGTGTAGCATGTTCAAAAGGAACGATGATTGTTCAGCGCAGCCTGCAGGGAAAGACAGCTGGACGGGTGCATTTTTTTTGCATTGCTCCGCATAACGCCCCTTACACACCATACCAATTGCGCCCGTCCAGGTAGATTCCAAACCTGATCCGCACCGTTCCGTCATCGGCAGCTGTACCACCACGGCGAGAACGTGGCGGTCAACATCTGCATCCGCAACCACAGCAACAAGACGGTGAAGCGGATCAAGGCGGCGATCCAGCAGGGCGTCGAGGTGTGCATCTTCTCCAACGGCAGTTACAAGGCCACCGTGGCCAGCGTCGAAACCGAGTAAGTGATTGTGCTGTACCGAGGAAGTGATTGTGCTGTACCGGGTAAGTGATTGTGCTGATCGGGCTCGCTGTCAGCTGGCGTCATATGTGTCCGGACAGACTCACTGGCAAGGGGCATCGGTGCGGGAGCTTGACGATATAGCACATATACTTATATCGCACCATACATATATATATATATATATATATATATATATATATATATATGTATATATATATATATATATATATATATATATATATATATATTGCATTGCTCCGTATAACGCCCATCACGCACCATACCAATTACGCCCGTCCAGGTGGATTCCAAACCTAATCCGCATATATCGTCACATAGATATAACCAGATATATATATAGCACATGTACTTATATCACATATATATATATATATATATATATATATATATATACCGTCGCATATATATGTAAATATATAATGTATATATATATATATATATATATATATATATATATATCGGCATGATACACTCGATCCCCATCACGCTTCGGTACAGGCCAATGGCGCACCTGCTTGTCGATGGCCAGCTACGGGCAATGAGCAAATCAGCCTTGCTAGAAATTTTTCAGCACCGCTTGACGGATGATGACCACCTGATGCGACTACACAGGGTGGTCGATGTCCGCGCCTGCGACAGGTGGACTCCAGATCAATAAAAAATGCGATGAGAAGGGTACCTCGCGACACGCCTGTCAGTTGTGTCCAACGCAGCCGCGTGCCTGCCGCAGAGAGGGGTGCCCAGTGGAGCCGGGGCAGTGCCTGCAGAAGGTGCTCATGCTCAGCCCCACCCTGGAGAACAACAACCGCAGGGGCATCGCGCTCGACGGCAAGCTCAAGCAGCAGGACACTGGACTGGCCTCGAGCACGCTGTGAGTGAGCTCCGCGCCCTGGGCTCGCTGAAGAGGCGCGTTTTGAGTGTTCGTGCATCGATTTGGACGATTTGTCCTAGTCATGAATAATGCATGTGAGATTTTAAATGGAAAATGTACCGTTGCGTCCACGCAAATATGTGCCTGCGTCTTTAAAACGTTGGCATATCTTTTATCTGAAAGAAATACGCATAGTTTATGTATATATATATATATATATATATATATATATATATATATATATATATATTTATAGGTTCTCACCGTATGGTATGTTCCCACGTCACTCTACCTAGTCGAACAAGTCCAAACCTGCGGGCCCAGTCGTAACTATAAGGGTCTCAATATCCATTACGTTGAATAATAACAGAACCGAATGCCCGCAACGTTCAGCTTCAAGTAGACTATAGTGCCAGCATTTTAACCAAAGTAAACAGACAAAGATGCTAAACGTTGTCCAGCCTAACTCGCAAACAGACGCCGATACAACCATTCTGGCGAAAATCCTTACTGACGTGACACATAAGCCGGCAGTGTGATGACCCCGCCGGCATTAATAAATCTTGTCATTCAGATAAAACTACTTAGATGGTCTTGGGACGGACATCTCCTTCTGTGTATGTTCCGCTTATCAAAGCGGCTAACACATGCTTGGGGACGGATTTCTGTCTGTAAACTGTGACGGATCCCTCTCCAATATAAAGGAGAGCTGTTTATCGTCCGTATGCAACATGCCAACAACCCAGGGCCCTTCTTTACTTTTGATTGTGCAGTGGATAAACAGTTATAAGTAGTGAGTGGCCCACAACAAGAACTATATCATATTTTCCCCAAGCTGACTGGATATCGCCCGTGCCTCATAGTGATCAAGAACGTCGACGCACTGCGCGGCCATCAAAGAACACAACTCTCACCCGACCACCCTGTTATGATAGCCCCTGGCGTTGTTGCAAGCGACAAATCTGAGCCATGCGCGTTGAAATGCACTGGCTGCACTGGCTGCGAGAAATACGACTGTTTGTGGGCCTCTAAACACGTAACGCCTTCTCCACCCTCCCATCCGCAATGCAGTAGCTGTAGTTATGTGAATATGATTACATATTTGGATTATGATTAATGAATACATTAGTTCACATAAAATATCAAAACATTTTTATCAGAACGAGCACGTGCCTCCTGTGTCCCCCCCATCCCCCTCCTGGAATGCACCACTGGTTATTACCATTCCAGGGCAAATAAAAACAAGTCCTATTTTCCATATAGCCCAAGGATTTCGCACACTCCCCAAGGATGTTTACTGGAATGTCCAACTGGAATTTTATCATCGCCGCTCTTTTCATTATTTCCTTCACTTTTACTCTTGTTTTTCTCTTCCCAAATCTGGGCGTTTATCTTTCGTAATTAATTCCGGAATGCGACACCATCAAAGGCGTCACCATGATTGAGCTGCCGACTGATGAGCGAGTGAGACAAACAAGCGCTCCGGGGGGGGGGGGGGGGGGGCAAAACCGTCGTTGTTGTATAGGAGGGAAGGGACACGCTCTATTTCTGAGTGGAAGGGGCCATGCGGTGAGGCGTGACTCGCTCCGCGGCAGAGGAAAGGACTGGCCGTCGAGGTGGTCGTCAGGTTGTTTCTTAGTAATGACCATCGGAGAAAGTCGTTCAACAAAACCATGAGTGTCCATAAAAGGGCAGCTGGCAGCTGACAGTTGGCAGCGGCCATGGCATATGGCACGCAAACCGAGAATCAGGTCAGGTACCACAAGTACTGTGCGGCCATGTAGCTTAGTGCACCCAGCGATGTAGGTTCAGAGCCCAATAAAGAGCTCTGAGTATTCGAAAATATATGCCAGCATCAATTCAGTGATCCAATAGCTGCATTATTTTCATCAAGCAAAGAACGTTGCATAAGCATGCTTTGAGAGGGACAAGCGCCGATGGTTTACATTTCCTGACGTCAGAGATAGGGTCATCCTCGACATTTCCTGACGTCAGAGATAGGGTCATCTTGGACAGTTCCTGGCCAATGCTCAGCAGCGCAAGGTCGATTCATTCTGCCCCTGTTCTCTGCAGGCTGGCGAACCCGGACCAGCGAGACGTGTTCGGCATTGTCGTCTCCTACTCGGTCAAGGTGAAGCTGTTCCTGGGCGCGCTGGGCGGCGAGCTGGTGGCGGAGTTGCCGTTCGTGCTGATGCACCCAAAGGTGAGCGCCGTCTTGCCGCACGTTCACACTCGTCCTAGCACACCGACGACACCAGGGCGGGCGGGTGGGAGTGTGTGGCCACCCTCGCAGGTGTACGCTCGTTGGATAAACTGACCGAGATCTAGCAGCCCGGTTATTTTGGAAACCACCGTGCCCACTTTACATCACCGACAGTGACCCGGATACTGAAACGCCAGAGCACACTGTTATCCCTCCCCCACCGGCCGCCGTGAGCGCCGCGCACCGTTGAGGGCAACAAAGCACGAGCATTTTGGCAGTGCGGAATACAAATCACAGGATATGAAGCCGCCCTTTCCCACGACATTCAGACAGTTCTGGCATCTATGATACCTTTCTGTGAGGCTCACTTAGTGTTCACGGCATTGCGGCCCAATCTGCTATTCACGAACAAGTCGGTGCTATGACGATGACTCCAACAGCAGGAATGGAATACCGATGCCAGGTAATATATAATTCATGTTCAGAACAAGACGCGTTGCCAGAGAGACTAAGTCGTCCATTCAAGCTGTGATGAGCGGACAGTAATTTAACATTTTTGGCGCTTGCTCAACCAGTGTACTCACAACAACGCGGCAGAAGCACGCTGAAAGCAACGGAGATGTAGAGCAGAGGCTCAGTTAAGAAAACATCGGCCGATGGTCAAGGAAGTAGCTGAATCAAGGCGTCGTTTTGTATCAATAACTGGGTTGGTTAGGGGGCGAGCCGAGCACTGGACGGACGGAGGGCCGATATTCCTGTCCGAGACCGGGAAATTAAATCAATATCACCCAATGATCTTTAAACATGCGCAGAAAACCGTGACATACAAGACGCTTCCTGAAAAAACAACGTGCAGTTTATTTAATTGCCGGCCTATTGGAATTTAATAATTTCTCACGCTACTTTTCCCACAGAGGATAGAACGGTAAAATAAATGGTCTGCAATGCGAGAGAAGACGCTCTCTGAGAGGGCAGGGCAACGTTAACAGAGGACGGGGCAACGTTAACAGAGGACGGGGCAGCGTTAACAGAGGACGGGACAACGTTAGCAGAGGACCGGACAACGTTAGCAGAGGACGGGAACAACGTTAGCAGAGGACGGGACGACGTTGACAGAGGGCGGGGACGAGACAACCATACACCGCACGTCTCGAAGAGCCTCGCTGCCAGACGATATGCATGGCCCACCAAAGTGTGATATAAAGTAGGATTATGGATACCGGTATAATGCAATGTGGCTCTGTAACAACTGGTTTGCTCATTTGGCCATGCAGCCGATAGCCGATATATTATATATATATATATATATATATATATATATATATCATATATAGTTATATATGTATCTATCTATCATATATATATATATATATATATTATATATCATATATAGTTATATATGTATCTATCTATCATATATATATATATATATATATATATATATATATATGTATATATAAGCATAGATATATACATAGTACCACGCGGGCCGGTAAGACAACTTTCCAGCACTGGAGTCGCTTCTGCCGTCTACCTTCGGTCTCGAGCAGGGATTTTACAGTGACAAATGTCCCGGGAAATTGTTCCGAACCAAGTTTGATCTTATTTTTGCGAAATGCTGCTGCGTGATGGAATATAGAGGGGAAATTCGAAGCCATCATTCTTACGATATTTGAGTAATGACATTGGAGGACAAGACTGTGAAGAGACAATCACAAAATGCATTCAGTCAAGTCGCAGTGCAGAACCGCCAACTAAGAGTATTGTCGTTATCAACATCGAAACGTTTCGGAAATACAGCATTGTACCACAAATTCCATTGATCATCAATCGTTACTCTGGGCGACTGCAAATCTTCCACAATAATTCCTGCAGTCCGAAACAGGTTGAAAAAGATACTGTTGAATCTTAGTCCGAATAGCTGCCTGCGCGGAACAACTGCGGTCCAAAACAGATTACAGATTACAGTCATATTTTTGTCCAAATAGCCGTTTGGTAAAACGTTTCGTCTCGTGGCCAAACATGTTTTTCCAGATGGAGGGGATGGAGGCGAAATGTTAAACGATGAACACAAGCTACACCAGTGACATTCCAGTATTTGGTCAATGCTTTTGCAACAGCTCGTGCATTTGGTACACCATTTCGCACCAGCGTTGTTTATGTGGCAAAACCTTTTTGATCGCGGGTCGTGAAGTTTTACCAATTCACGCGTAAACAATTATTCACTCACAACTACGGCTGGAATTTGTAGAAGCTGTTTCGGACTGCGGTTTTGACTGACTGGACTGCTCTGGAAGCTTTACACCCACTCAGAGAAGTGTTTGGTGATGAATGGAAAGTGCGGAGAATGGTTCATTTCCGAACATTTTCTATATCGATGACGGCATTGGTCGCATATGGCATCTCTTTGCTGCGGCTAGCCTCATTATCTTTATAATTATCTCCTCGTAGTCTTCTTCGCCGGTGCTATACTCTATGTATGGTGGGAACAATGCCTTTAGGTTCTCTTTCCACTTTGCCTCATACAACAGCATGTGGTAACGAGTATGCCACGCTTGGATCGAAATAACATTTCAACATATAATAACATTTCAGGATTCATAGCACAGAATGATATTTCAGGACCTTGGTCAATGTCGCATTTCTGCCCTCGATCTTCGGTGTTGGGTAGAATTGCAGGTAATTTTTCGGTTTCATCATGGTATCGTTTTCCTATCAATCCACAAAAATGTAAAAGCATGGTAAAGACAGCTATCCCATAATGTTTGTGGAAGTTAGACCTTGGGTGATAAGTTTTTCATAACTGATAAGCTAGGTAAACGTTGGGCACCTTAACAAACATAGCGGGCCAAATCAGCTTAAAGAAGGTATTCCACATTGGAATGGGGTTTGCAACTGAGATACCAATTTTCAAGATCATTCAATGCAGTTCAGTCGCGCCCTTTTGAAGACTTCAAACCCTCTTATTTCTGAGCTTGCTGCACGCGAAGTTGTGCAGAGTATTTTGCACAACCGATTTGAAGGTCAACCAGACATGCATCGCGTCGTAGCAACGTCAAGCGAATCCGGCCGCCGCAAAGTCCAGGAAGCGCCCAAGGTCAAGACAAAATCATCGAATTGCTGGTGTTTCGCGTACGTCGACACGCTTTGTGGCATCAACGGACAGAAATTGGTTTTCCATTAGTTTAAAGGTTAAGTGCAAGTTTTGATCACGGATCGCATTTTGTGCCACATAATGCAAGAGTTTGGACAGCAATGCTAGTTATGGCGGGATTTAGACTGGGACCGAATAAATTCAGAAAAGCGCCGTGACCGAGCATGTCAATACAGTACGAAATATAATACTACAGACAAATACACAAGAACACCACGAAAAAGGGCCGAAGCATGTGCACATAGCGACATCGGGACCCCGCAAACACATTGCATTTAATGAATGAGTGTCATTTAATCCGATGTCACTTAACCAGACACCTATCGACAAGATGAAATGCTACGAGTGGGCCGGTCCGTCCGCCGGGGTAGCAGTTCTGACACGGCCAGTCTGGCACCGACTCTAGTTAGCTCGTTAGCCATTGAGTTTTAAGTCAATCGCGTTGGTTGTTTGTGCCTTGGCACAGACAGTAATAAAAAGTTCAGTTACGTAACTAAACGGTGACGTATTGAGGAGCATATTGTACAAAAATGTAAATGTGTTGTCTAGTGCAATCTTTTGCACACAAATATATAGCATATAGATAAAGCACAGTATATAAGCAAACCACACCAATAGTTACAAGTGAGTTTATTTTATCAAATTAAACATACCTCGGAGCAAGCCGCATAATCAAGCATAAGATGGAACAAGCTTCAGCAATGATGTACGTCTAAAATGTTACGTAACAGTAGTGTGTGTCAATCTTCGCACTGAAGTGACAAGGTGGAATAACACGGTTTTAACATGGGCCGGTCAAGTTAAGCTTCTACAGTCTGAAATATAACATGAAATTGACAAATATGATCACGAGCAGTACCTTATAGTTTCGGTCTTCCTACTCGTAGGACGGAGATATGTTCGGTTCGAGTATAGTGGAACGCACCCCAATGTTGGCCCTGGCGTGCGTACTCGACCTGACACGAAATCGCGCCTGCCGCTCGCGCACAGCGTCCACTCCCCAGTGGGCCTCAAACAGGTGATAACAGGGCGCCGAGGCGGCTCTGTCTGCAGGTGTAAAGGAACGTTTCCAAAGTATTGCATACTTTACTCTTGCTTGCAATGCTTATCATGAGGGACTGTGGCACCCGCTCGTTGCGATAACACCATCCAACCCATTTCCTGCGTCGCCGCGCTGGTCCGTGACCGATAGCCTAGTGTGACCGATGGTAGGTGACATGCTGCCCAATGTGCGGTGTCAGCATGACAGCCGCGTGACGTCACATGTCGGGCAGTGTCCAGTGTGCGCGTGACGGACGCCAGGCACCAGTCTGTGTCCAGAGTAGGCGTGACGGACGACAGGTGACACACCGTTGTGCGTCCGGCATTCCAGCGTGACAGACGACAGCTGACATACCGGTGTGTGTCCAGCATCCCAGCGTGACAGATGACAGGTGACATGCCGGTGTGTGTACCTGCCATCCCAGCGAGACAGACGACAGCTGACATACCGGTGTGTGTCCGGCATCCCAGCGTGACATACCGCTGGTAACGTACTGGTGTGTCCGGCATCCCGGCGTGACAGGCGACAGGTGACATACCGGTGTGTGTCCGGCATCCCGGCGTGACAGTGACAGGTGACATAACCGGCGTGTGTCCGGATCCCGGCGTGATAGACGACAGGTGACATACCGATGTGTGTCCGGCAGCCGAATGCCCAGCGGCCGCTGCAGCACGTGGCCAGCACGGAGCAGCTGGAGACGTTCCGCAGCGACAGCCTGGACCTGGCCGAGGACCTGGGTCCCACCGAGACCCAGCCGCTCCAGGACAGGTGGGCCGGCTGAGGCTGCGCCAACTAGGCCCAGCCGCTCCAGGACCAGGTGGCCGGCCTGAGGCTGCGCCACTAGGCCCAGCCGCTCCAGGACCAGGTGGCCGGCCTGAGGCTGCGCCACTAGAGCCAGCCGCTCCAGGACCAGGTGGCCGGCCTGAGGCTGCGCCACTAGACCAGCCGCTCCAGGACCAGGTGGCCGGCCTGAGGCTGCGCCACTAGACCCAGCCGCTCCAGACCAGGTGGCCGGCCTGAGGCTGCGCCACTAGGCCCAGCCGCTCCAAGACCAGGTGCCAGCTGCTCCAGGGCCAGGTGGCCGGCCTGAGGCTGCGCCACTAGGCCCAGCCGCTCCAGGACCAGGTGGCCGGCCTGAGGCTGCGCCACTAGACCCAGCCGCTCCAGGACCAGGTGGCCGGCCTGAGGCTGGCGCCACTAGGCCCAAGCCGCTCCAAGACCAGGTGCCAGCTGCTCCAGGACCAGGTGGCCGGACTGAGGCTGCGCCGCTAGACGCTGGCCGCGCCACCACCGCCTCGCCGCCGACTCGGCTCCAACCCACAGGCGCTCAGGCTACGCCGCCGTCAGGCACACTTGACGCTAATCTTTCGACCAGGCTGTCAAAATCAGACGTCTGAAGAGAGAGAGACACACACACATGGGGCGACGGAAGAGGGCGGAGAGAGGGGAGGGGGAAGTGAGCGAGATGTGGGTTTATGGGCGGCGTTTGGTCGGAGGCCGAGACTGTCAACGGGGGTCTAACGTGGCGTTTACGGGCATCAGCCTCCCAGGCATCCCAATGGGCGTGAATCAGAGAAACTGGGTCAGAGCGGATTGGATATTGGAAGCTGATTCGAGTACGTCCTGGTGGGGAGGACCAGGGTCGAACGCCTCCTGTCGCAACCGCTTCCTACTGCCAGATGGACTGAGGTCAGCCTCAAGACAAAAGGAATAGCAGAATGGATTCCCTGTCCCTTCCAGTCCGACACGGCATGGAGCAGTGCTGATGAGGAACGCAGCGGTTCGCGATCGTAGTCTTGTCGCCGTGTGATGAGCATTTGGCGTATTTGCTGAGACGGCAGTGTGGGGACCCCGGTCCAGGTCGCGGCCGCTAATCTCTCTCCGTCGTTATCGATGTCATACTTAAGCTAAGCTGCGTTGCCATCATGTCAGTTGGTGACTTCCCAGCATTAGCAGCAATTTGGCTCTGTCATTCACGCTGTCCCTGCGTCCATTTGCTCGCCGTCGTGTAAGCTGGACAGACACGGCGGCCGTCTCTGATTACTGGGTTTCTTACCTGATCATTGAACAGCGGCTGAAACCGTAATCTGGGGCTGGAAGAATGGACTCCGTGCGGATCTGGTTGCCCTGACGAGCCGCGGCTTAGAGCATCACGACGGAACAGTGACGACGGATAATGCGTTGTCGGTGGCGTGGCGGATAGGAGCGCCGCACGCCAGACGCCAGCATAAGACGCAGCAGTCTTGTCAGGATCCGGCCGCCTCAAGGGCGCACCTGGGGCAGGGAGCGAAAGGGCGGCTACTCCGTCCCTTTCAGAGTTGGTGGCTTCCTGGACCGTCAAAAGGGCGGGCGGTCCGAGCGCCTGAGTTTCTATCCACGAACACTTCTCTTGAGAAATTGAAATGCGGTAGTGAGGAATAAGCTTTCTACGTTTTTAGCAGGTTTGACACGGGCCTCTGCACTGGCCGCGAGGCTCTAGATGGTCTGAAATAAGGTCCCGTGTAACATAGAATGGGCTAAATCCGACTAGAAAATCAAAATCAAGGGGCCAGAGGTGAAGTCGTTCTCTCCCTGGCAGGGTGACGCCTGCCAAACCCTTGCTCCCCAATGGCAAAAACCTGGCCACGCATCTGGGCCGCACGGCCAGGACGCGCGCCGCCCGACTGCGCTGATCTGCGTCTGAAGGGCCTGTGCGTTATCTGTCCGCGCATGCAGTCTGCGTGTAACGGTCAATGCTGCTGGGGGCTAAAAGCACAGTTTGGGCTGCATTCTCCGAGAAACTGTTTGGTTAGGTCAATAACGGGGACTGCCTGCCAGGAGAACGAAAGGCGTGCCCGAGCTGCTTTTGGCGTCCGGATGATTTCAAGCTGTTAATGGTCTCACTAACCCGGCATTTCCATTACCTGTAGCGTTTCACGCTCCTTTAGGAATGTACGGATAACGACGCAACGTGTTTTACCTGGTGATGTATGTGAAGGTGTTCTGTAACGTTGTTTATGGAATACATTGGCGGGGACAATGAAGTGCTCTTTATACAAACCTAATGCTCTTTGTGAAAGAGGATTGGTGCACAACGAGTGTCGGCAGGAGTGGACAAGCATTTCCCCTAGACCGCCCACTTAAACAGCAGCCAACTTTCCAGTCATATCAAGCGAGACACCGCGGAGGGCCAGTGCGATCCTGCCGGCCCGCTCAGTGGCGCCGGGATCGGGGCGCCTGCTCTCCCCTTGTTGGGAAATGGAACGGACGGAACTCGAGCCTGACGCAGAACCATCCGGGCATATCAGGGAACCGGCGAGCCTTCCTAGCCCTGGTCCCCGTTCGCTCCCGTGGGGTTCGGAGCCCCCAGCCGGGCTGGCCCGTCCGTGGCGCCGTCGCGGCCGGTGCCAGCCACTCAGCCACCGGCGAATGCGAGCTGGCGCTGGCGCCGGGTTCGCCGCCGGCGGACGGGGTGCAGCGCGTGTCTGGAGATGTAGCCAGGAAGTGCACGTCAAACGCCGTGCACGCCGTCAACGCTTGAGAGGATGTGAGGATTCACGGACGCGGATGTTTGTCTCGGGAAAGTGTGGACGCCCCTAAATCCCACACATTTTCGCCCATCAAGCCAGAAGTGTGCAAACGTTGAGTTTCCAGTTGGCATAAGCATCCGCACCAGTAAACGTAAATTTCCCTGTATGCTTTTGGAACATGACCAACACATAATTCGGAGCCTGCGAATATGTCGCTTGCCGCTTGCGTGTCACTTGCAAAGTCCGCCCCTTCCGTGCCAACTTGTTTGGCTACTCCCGCACTCTTGCATACCGTTCGCGGAAGGGGACAAGAACCCGACTGAGATTGACCGGGAGACCTTCCCCCTCTTTCCCAACTGTTCTTTTGAGAGGTCGGCTCTCGCCACTGTTGCGAAGCGTCGCAGCACTCCGATCATGTAGAACAGACTGGGCTGCTGTCGCCAAAAATTCGTCAATCGCCGGCGTCGATGAAGACATCCGGGCTCACTAGCTGGCATGGTTCATCAACTTAATGCTTTCTCCGGGAATGCGCTGTGCATTAGTTCGCAGCACAACGCTGACGGCTATTTCTAAACAGTACAGACATGTCTTGACTTCAGATGGCAATATGGAGTGTTCGGGTTTATCGTCAGCGCATTTTAACTTGTTTTTATAGCTGACGGATCTTACGGCGTCACATGCGTACCACCTGGTGGGGGCCTAGTCAGGAAAGGAAAAGTAGACGCTTTGGACGGAGTGAGCGATCCCTCGCGAAACGCCAAGCTGCGGAGGGCCTTAGCTCGAGAAAGCGGCTTATGCTCTGTCAGTTCGTTTTAAGACCTGACTGACACTTCGTCGACGGCATTAGCCGCGTTCAGTATTCCGTGAAGCCGGACAGGAAGCGAGTGGTGTTCGAAATTGGTCGGCCGGCAAGGTGAGCGTCTTGCATAAGAGCGCTGACAAACCCGGCCATGGTTGAGCCCTTTAACCGGCGTTCCGCACCGACCTTCAGCGCAGCGCGAGAGACGAAATAGAGAGCGCACCAAACTAACCATGAAGGCGAAACAGTGTATTGTCCAAATACATATAAGTTTACTTAGCTAAAAAATGTCAAACCGCCTTCGATGACGCTGATGAGTGATACCATGCACAGGACATATCAAAGCAGCCTCCGTCCGCCCGAAGTCATAGACTGAGCGCCCGACAAGACCTAACACACAATGGCTGAGATGAACACGATGAAACACCTCCCCAGCCCCCCAAGCTGACGGCGCTGTCGACCGTGCGTTCCCACACCCCCGATCGGTTTCGCGGCTCCCTCAGACCGCCCCAGCGACTGCGCGGCGCCGGGTCCGTACAAGCGCCGCCCCGACCGGCCAGCCCCGCCAGCAGCGCGCCAGTCCATCTGCGCCGGCTCCTCAGGACGAGACCTCCTCGCTCGGGCCGTCGAAGTGGCCCATCTCCTCGACGTCGACCTCCGACTCGGCGGCATTCAGCATGTTGAGCGTCACGTCCGACTTGGCGGAGAGCTTGGCGGCGCCGGCGCTCGCCTGGGCCCTGCATGCCCGCCTCGTCGAACGCCTTCTTCTTCAGCGCGTTCCGAATCTGGCTCCTGCGGGGAGGGCCAGGACCGACCAGGTCATGTCCGGTCAGCTTCGTTCAACTGGTGGAAGGGCAGGTGACAGAACGGCCAGACGATGGCCAGGAAGGGTGACGGGCAAGCCGCATAAGGCCGAGAGTACGCGCCAGGCGCCGGGGTGATCAGCGGGTCCGGGGTGATGGGTTGGAACGGGTCCGGTGATGGGTTGAAAGGGTCCGGTTATAAGGAACGGGTCCAGTGATGGGTGAACGGGTTTCGGTGCTGACTGGTCAGGCTGTCACAGCTCCGAGGGCTTCCGTCATCCGCCAAGCGCTGGGTGTGGGTCACACAAGGGGCGCAACATTCGGCACGTCCTGTTAAACGGGGCTCAGGCGGCAGCTCAGCCGGGCGGGACGTGGCGCGGCATTGCCCGGCACAACAACCGGCATCGCGACAAACAAACTGTCCAAACGTCCGGGACGCCGGAGTTTCCGTTCAAACGTAGAGCTGGAAAAATAGGCAAATCCTGTCGACCGGCATTTCACTCGCTGGCCTGGGAGTTCGACCATCTGCACATACATAACCACGAATATGATACCGCGCTCCGAGCCGCCGGAGCCTCGCCGCGGTCTGGGGGCCGGACGTCCGCTGGTGCGCCGCGCCTTATCACGACTGTATGTGATGGGGCAGCCCTGATTGCGGGCAGGGCGCCATCTGGGCGGTGGTGTGGCTTTTCTCCGGGTCACTTAACGTCGCCAGCTCCACCGCCGTCGTCATTTGCGTCCGGAAACGTGTTGCAGTCTGTGAATGGGCTTGGGGCCGTGCCCTCAAGACCGACACCAACATAACAGCTTTTGAAGGCTGTTTGCGCCGCTGGCTTTCAGTGCCACCGACGAACGAATCTGAGTTATGGCACCTTGAGGGAGGATCCGTAATCTGAATAGTACCGTGTTTCGCATCCTACGATCTCGAAATCGAGTCCAAGTCCGAGTCCATTTGGTTTCACTGAGTCCGAGACCAAGTTGCAGGGCCTGGCG